CCAAGCATCTCAAGTCCACCCCAACTCGTCTGTCCCTTTGGGAGTTTCTAAATCAGCCTTAAACCGAGTTAAAGGCTTCAATTTGGAAACTGCCCCTTCCTTTCCTTCACCCAATTTGACTTGGCAATATTTTGGATCATTGTATTTTTTGGCCTCAATAAGCAACCCAACCTTGCATGTCCATGAATCATTACTCAGTTAAAGCCAATTTGACATTCCCTTCTCTGATCATTTCAACCGAGCCATTGGCTAGACCAGTGGTATGATATAAAAAGACACATGCGTATATTTTTATTTTTAACATTAAAACAATGGGGAATATTAGATTTTCGAAATGAGAGAAACTATCTCATGCAAAATAAGAATAGTATTTCCCTAAAATAATTGTGTTAAGCGTCACTCTAACGCAAAATCTTAGGACCTGTTTGGTGTGACGTATAAGGCATGATAGTATATACATTATGATATTTTCAGTTGTTTGGTGTGACCATCGTATAATATAAGCTTATACAGCAGAATCTCTTAATACATCAAAATGATGTATAACTTAATCCGACCTAAAGGGAGGGATAAGGCCTAATAAGAGATTGATGTATTAACATCATTGACCAATGTAATTCTAAAAAATTAATATATTATTTTAATATTAATCTATTAAAATAAAAATTAATTTTTCAATATATTAATTTTTAAAATACTGAATATTTTTATTTTATAAAAATTAATTTATATTTTGGACACACTAATCAATAAATTTAAAAAAAATTAACGTCATATGATATTTTTTGAAGAATTATATAAATTCTTTATTAAAAGATTTTTTATTAAAAATATTTATTTTTATCCTATATAGTATTATACAATGCATTAGCAAATACTGGATGATACTATCTTATACAATATATTATTTTATACAATACCTTGTCAAACACTGGATAATATTAAAATTTAATCAGGCCTTATACTATCATGCCTTATCATATACTATGTACCAAACATGCCCTTAAGGTATCAGGACATTGTCTTGTGCTGCACAAGTTCATTTTTTGGTCGCCTTGTGCTTTTCTTAATTCCACCTAAAAGTGGATGGCAATGAGGATCGAACTCGTGATCTTGTGACCACTGAAGCTCTAATACCATGATAAGCCACCTCAATCTAAAATCTTAAGACATCATGTTAGGTTAAGATAATTATTTTATATCTCCCTAACAAATTGCCCCGTTTTATGTGCTTCGAATGATTTATTTTGGATGTCTGGCCTGGATTGGGGAAGAGTGACTATTTTGTCACACTTGGCAAAAAAATTTACCAGACTGCAACACTGCAACACCAACAGTAAATTTTGCCAAAATGCCACGCTGCACCCTTAGCCGTCGTTGAAGAAGTCTGAAAATAATTAAGAGTTAAGATAAGATAATGCGAATTAGTTATATTTTCAGACTTCTTCAACGACGGCTAAGGGTGCAGCGTGGTATTTAGACAAAATTTACTGTTGACGTGACAATCTGGTAATTTTTTTTGCCAAATATGACAAAATGGTCACTCTTCCCTGAATTGGATTAGTTGATATAGAAATCGCTTCTTTTATTAACCAAAAAAGAAGAAGAAAAAGAAATCGCTTCTTTTCTTTTTCTTTTATTTTTTGGGAATCTTTTCCAGTAACGACAAAGAAAGCACACATACCAAGAAGTGCAGAGAAGGGAAATAATATCACAACACCATTTAAAGAAGAACATTTCGAGATATTTTTCTTGGTGCTGTCACAGAAATGACACACTTATAGATCTTGGACAAATGAGAATAAGCATTAAAAATTAAAGAAGAATATTAAATTTTTTAAAAAGGCTTGCTTATCTCGCATCTTTAAAATATTTAAAAATGGTAAAAGAGTTTACTTTTTTATGAACTAATAATATTTAAAATATTTTATATTTGCAATATTACTACATTATTGAATAAGTTTGAATTTTCATATAATCATTAACATAATTGAATTTTTTATATAAAATGTCAAAATAATATTAAACATAAATGCATTTTTTATATCAATAATGCCTCAAAATTAAACTCATGTTTAATGGTTGAAGAATAAAAGTCTTTGAAAAATAATTAATCGAGGTAATGAAATTTACGAAATGTTTTACTTGTATTTCAACTTATCATTTAATTTGTTACATTTATTTCAAGATTTTTATAATATTAGAAAACAAATATATGAAATGATTTTGCAAATAAATTGGTATATATACACCATAAACAGTTATAGAAAAATTGAGGTAATTATATAATATTATTGCACGGAAAGAATTTTTTTAGCCCCTTAATTACGTGGCACCATGGTATTTATTTTTATTCTAAAAATAGCTTATATAATAAGCTTTTCTTTTATTAATTTATTATGTACAATTTATTTAGAATAATTTCGACTAATACAATTAAATAAGATTCGATCAATTAATATAAACATGAAACAATTATGTGCATGTTTTTCGCGTTTGATTTTAATATTTTTTAAAAGAAATTTTCGTGCACCAATTGGTGACTATGTGAAAAGTTAACTCTCTTCACATGCATAATAGCATTAGATACATGATATCATAAATAATTATTTAATTATATTTATTATGCATAATAGTTAAAAAAAAATTATTTTTATTTTTATTCTTAATAAAAACTGAAATATCCATGAACACATTTAACTGATATTAGACGTTAACTATTTTCAACACTCAATCATTAGCTGTGCAATTATAGTATAACAATTTTAAAATAATAGCTAATATTAAATCGAATTAAATTGAAGATTCGGTTCTGCTATACAGTAATTTATTTAAATTAAAATTATATAGATCAAAATATAGAATCAATATAAATTATATCAAGTATTTATGTAATCAATTTATCCTCTCGTCTCATTTCATGCAGCATAAACCAATTATGTTAATTATAAACGAAGGAACCTATTATTTTATGTTTTTTTTTCTAGAAGAAAACAATAATTGAAGTAATGACGTACAACATGAAACAATAATTAAAGTATAAACCTTAATTTATATAATATATTAAATGAAATTTTCATTAAAGCTCAATATTGTTTTCTAATTAAAATTAGAAATTGGATCCGTTTACAAATTTACACTAAGTACGACTGGTCGCTCATTGTATGATTAGAGTATGATTTGTTATCGAAAAAGTTTGTAAATATAATCTGTGCCTTAAAATTATGATATGATGAAAAGTTTGATTTGACATCACACTCAGTCAAATAAATTTAATACATATTAAGATTTGCAAAATAGAAAACATTAAGCTTTGGGTAACTATTATATTATGATGAATGAATTAATTAAAGACGAATACAATAAAAGAAATAAAATGCTGAGAAGATAATCAATGATTTAAGAATTGGAATGCAATATATTTTTGGTTAAAGAAATTGGAGGGGAATTGTGCGGAACTTGGTTTAATTATAAAAAGAAAATAGGAATATTGAAAGTTGGTAGGTGAACCGTGAAAGGAAAAAACTGTTGGAGCGTTTTGCTTGTTTTGCAAATCCAATGATTGGCGCACATTTCAAATTTGTTAAGCTTGAGCTCACAATTCACATCCACACCATACCATACCCCTCCGTTCTCAACCGCCATTCAAATCAAAGTACACAAGGACAAGGTGTGATAGATAGGGTTTACATTTTAAGATTCAAACGCCGCGCACTTAGCTGTATTCGACTCAGTTCCACGTCACCCTCATCATTCATCTCCAATCATTAATCTTATCTCTCTCTCACAAAATATCCAAACTTAACCTCCACCACATCCCTTAACCCCCACCATCTCACATTCATCTCTTGATTTAAAAAATAAAAACAAAAAGACTATATAATATAACCATAATAGAACCATAATCTCTATCATAGCCCTATTAGTATTTAAGATGACATATAATAACTTAATTACTAATTAGATTATTTTTTAGGAAAAACTTCAAAAAAAAAAAAAAGCCTACAAGTTTCCTCAAAATCACTTAACCCTCTCCCCGAAATTTTTAATTATTTACCTCCTACTTAAAATTTCTTTATCATTTATTCCCCTAATTTGATTTTTCATCTAAAATTTTGTTAACGAAGTTAAATTTTTTAAAAGATACCAAAATTACCCTTAATAGAAAAAAGAAAAATATAATTTCCTCACAAACGCAGTTTTGGATGAAAAATCAAATTAGGGGAGTAAGTGATAGAGAAATTTTAAGTAGGAGATAAATGATTAAAAATTTAGGAGAGGGGATTAAGTGATTTCGAGAAAACTTATAGGAGAGTTTTTGAAGTTTTCCCTATTTTTACAGGGAAAAACTATTCTTACGTCACATGATATAAGTTTTTTCTCCTACATACTCTTCGATAATCTTTTATTTTTTTTATTTTTTCAGGTGGTGGAGTCCACTAATTTGTCTCTATAACATGGGCTTTTTCACCCTTTTGCCCCTTATTAATTAATTAATAATCATTTTGTTCCTGATTCGAAACTATCTATCAATCTGTCCCTCTTTAATCGACTACCTTGCATTTTTAATCGATTAAATGGCCAAAAACAGACAAAAATGGCTGTTAGAGTCGACTAAATCTCCCTATTTAGTCGACTAAATCTCCATATTTGACAACAAAGGAAAATAAGTCAGTATGATTTTGATCGATTAAGTAGGGAGATTTAGTCGATTAAATCTCCCAACAACCATTTGGTCGATTAAAAATGCAAAGTAGTCGATTAAAAAGGACAGATTGGTAGATAATTTCGAATCAAGGACAAAATAGTTATTAATTAATTAATGAGAGATAAAATGGTCAAATAACTCTATAAGATTAATAAAACCGTTTTTTATAACATGATAAACATTAAATACTAAATAAAATTGGGTTTTTTGGGCCACGTAAGTGACACCGCCTGTTGCGCGTGCTTATTGACCAGATTTTTCTTAATTTTGGGGTGTTTCCACAAAATTTCCGGTGTTTATCTCTCTGAGCTTAAAACCGTGTTCTCCACATGCTTTCTTTCTCCTATTCAGCGTTACATCTTCTTCCTCATCCCTTTAGCCTTTCTCCTTCTAATAACTAATTTTATAACAAAAACCATTACTTTATCCTTTTTTTCACGCACCCAAAATTGGCACACCCCTTTCTTCATAACCACATATAAAAACCTCTCCTCACATCCTTGCTCATCACCCTGTATGCACACGATGAAGATTTTCAACCCCTCTAAATGCTTTCTTCAGAATGTCGTGTGTCCATTCGACACAATCTTCCTCAAAAAAAATGGATCTGGTTCTTTCACCGTGAGTTAGCTTAAAGCTTCTTTCAAAACCCCCAATCCCCCATCCAATTCAATTCAATTCAATTCATTTCTTGCCCCCACTTCCACATGGATCCACAACACAAAACCAACAACAGGAACATCCTGTTCAACAAGTACGAGATTGGCAAGCTCCTAGGACAGGGAAACTTCTCTAAGGTTTACCATGGTCGAAACCTCATCACCAACGAGAGCGTTGCCATCAAGATCATCAAGAAAGAGAGGCTGAAGAAAGAGACCATGATGAAGCAAATCAAGCGCGAGGTTTCTGTTATGGGCCTCGTTCGCCACCCCCACATCGTGGAGCTCAGGGAAGTCATGGCCACCAAGGCCAAAATCTTCATGGTTGTCGAATACGTCAAAGGTGGCGAACTCTTCGCGAAGGTAACGAAGGGGAAGATGAGGGAAGACGAAGCAAGAAAGTACTTCCAACAACTCATCAGCGCCGTCGATTTCTGCCACAGCCGCGGCGTCACGCACCGTGATTTGAAGCCCGAGAATTTGCTCTTGGACGAGAACGAAGACCTTAAAGTCTCCGACTTTGGATTGTCGGCGTTGCCGGATCAGCGCAGATCCGACGGAATGCTCGTGACGCCGTGCGGAACGCCGGCGTATGTTGCGCCGGAGGTGCTGAAGAAGATAGGGTATGATGGGTCGAAGGCTGATATATGGTCGTGTGGTGTTATCCTCTATGCTTTGCTTTCTGGGTATTTGCCTTTTCAAGGTGAGAATGTGATGAGGATTTATAGAAAATCATTCAAAGCTGATTATGCATTCCCCGATTGGATTTCGACTGGTGCTAAGAATTTGATTTCGAAATTGCTCGTTGTTGATCCTGAGAAGAGGTATTCCATCCCTGATATCATGAAGGATCCTTGGTTTCAAATTGGGTTCATGAGACCCATTGCTTTTTCAATGAAGGAAACAGCTGTGGAAGATAACATTGATTTCAACGAGGATGATGATAATCATAACAATAGTCTTAATATTCTTGATGAATTGGTGGGGGAAAACCCAGTTCGTCCCTCTTACAATGCATTCGAGATTATATCTTCCTTGTCTCATGGGTTTGATCTTAGGAATTTGTTTGAGACGAGGAAGAGATCCCCTTCTATGTTCATTTCCAAGTTTTCAGGTTCTGCTGTGTTGGCGAAGCTTGAGACGGTGGCGAAGAAGCTGAATTTTAGGATAACGGGGAAGAAAGATTTCACGGTGAGAATGCAGGGGGCTAAAGAGGGAAGGAAGGGGAAACTGGCTATGACGGTGGAGGTGTTTGAGGTGGCGCCGGAGGTGGCGGTGGTGGAATTCTCAAAGTCCGCCGGAGACACGCTTGAATACATAAAGTTCTGTGAGGACCAAGTCAGACCTTCCCTTAAAGACATCGTCTGGACTTGGCAGGGTGATTCTCATCGCCATCATCAGTAGCTGCTGCACTGCAATGTGATTCTATTAAAAATAATAGAAAATTAACAAGTAGTTTCAATTATTGTTATTGTTATTATTATTATTATTACTATTCATTTAGATTAAGATTACCGTGTTTATAACTATGTCATAGTTGCAGTTTGTGATGGCATAAGGAGAATAATGAGTAACAGAGTAATTTATCATTCTTACTTCCTTGTTCATTTGAGTTTTTGTTGCATCTTGAGTTGGGTCCCTTTTATGTTGTTAACAACTTAACATGGTTGTTGAATCGAAATACTTATTTAACTGTTTTTTAAGGTGAATCATGAATAGATTCAAAGATTTAGAAAATATAATGAAAAGTGTCATTGTTCTCTCGTTGAAGGTCTCTATTTCCTTCCTAAGTTGTTCTTTCAAAGAAATTTTTTCATGCGCTGCTAGTCTCTGGCTGAATTCGTTTGGAAACTTTTCTATGAGACTCTCTTTTCTTGTGCATGTCTCTATTTTTCAGATTTATATTTATTTTTTGGGGAAGGATATATACCATAAAAAAAAAAATTAAAAAATTTGGTTTTTGTTAAATCTTTGTATAAAATCTTTAAAAGAAAAATATTTTGACTGGGGGAATTAATAAACTCGAATTATTCAATTTGATTACTGAATTGATATTGCTTGATATCTGGATATTAATGAAAATGTATGGAATTTGAAGAAGACTGATTACCTACTACTAGAAAAAGACTTGGATGCTTACTTAAGAACTTTACGGTTTTTACCGAACTGCATCATTTTGTTTTGCCAAATATGACATGATTTGGAGAAAGGGATGGATTAAAGCTTTTAATCTTTTTTTGGGTCCACAATTCATTTTTGTTTACTATTTTGGGGAAGAGGGTACCGGACAAAAGACCTGAATTTAGTAACAAAACTTGTAGGGCTGTTAATTACTAGTTAATTCAAACTAATTTAAAATAGTTTGGATAATTGTTTCATTTGGCATTTAATCTAATACTAATCAAATACAATTGTTTCAGTTATATATTCACGATTTTTTATTAAGACTCAAATTTTATTTAATTACCTAGCTAATTAATTTTTTTCCCTTCTTCATTTATTCTGATATCGTTATTTGAAACCCAAACCTTTAGCAAAAAGCTTACAATTTCAAATAAAGAAAATAATGAAGAATGTAATTAATATAATAGTAAAAAAAAGCCAAATATTAGTAAAATGTAATGTTAAAATTCGAAATTAATTTGCTTATCCTTTCGGTCATACAGAAAAAAAATCAAAATTTTAATAAAATGACAAAAACATATGAAAATAAAAAATTGTTTTTATTTTTAATTCAACTCAACTAAATAACTCTATTTTAATTAAATTGATTTGGTTAGAGTTGATTAAAAAACGAGACTACATCAATATAATTGAAATTCAAATCAAACAAATTAAGTTAAGAGGAGGGTTATATTTATAAATTTTATATTACAAACTCTTATAAATTAGTACGTAAATTAGGTTACACGATATATAATATAATTTATAAAATTTTATAAAAAAAATTATAAACGGATGTTTTCTAAATTAATACCATTTAAAAACTTAAGTGCCCTTTGGGAATTCTGTACATGTTTTAATGAAGAAAGTTAAACCGCCATCTAATCCATCTCGTGTGGTTCGAATGGCACAAGGGGGAAAGCGACAGTGAATTTCATTTGTTTGGTCCGTTTTACATTTTTTGCCTGATAAGGTGTGTTTAGTTCGGCAGAAATTTTTTTTTACTAGAGAAATGTAATTGATAGGGAAATGGTTGAAAAGTGAGTTTGGTAGAAAAATATAAAAAAAGTTGTTTGGTTGACCCAAATATTACCAGGAAAATTTATTTAAATATGCAAAATCTATGTTCGGGAAAAACTTTGCACCTATTTTTTCAGTTCCCCAGTTATCTCAAAATACCACATTTCAAGTGGTATTCTGTAACAGTAAATTTCATCTAAAAATTAACACAAAAGTCATTTTCCCATCTATCCTATTTGCCTGGTATTTTTTTGAAAAAGTCTGAACCAAACGTGATATTTTCTAATATCCACTTACACTTTCTCATCAATTCCAAAATAAACCTTCAACCAAACACTACAAAAAAAAAAAAAAAAAAGTACGTGAATGTAGCGTTATGAATGAGCTGTCCCGCTTTGTGCAATAATCATATATGGGAATGAATGGGACCTCCTTAGCTGAGAAGATAGCATCAGCTGACTCAGATCATACTCAGTTTTTCCAAATGAGGATCCCATTGCATTAGGGTTATACAGAATCTTACAGATAATTCGAGTCATGTTAAAACACAATTTGTCAACTTGCCTGTGCCTGCCGTCCTAGCCATATGATAGGATGCATCTCCTATTCAACATTATCAACATTGAACTAACATTAGCTACATCAGCTTAATTCAGATGGTTTGGTGAAAGAGATGTGCTCAAGACTTAAGCAATTAATATTTTTTTTTTTGTTAACTGTGTATATTTTGACAATGAAGCGGATGAATACATGAAAGAGTTTGTATTATTACAAAAAATAAAAAATTGAAGATTTATTCTGAGGTTTCTATCAAACCAAAACATATATTAATGTATTTTTTAAGGGCGTTTGGTATCAAAAAAAAATTGTTGGAGATTTAGTAAAAATTCTCAAGTAAGTTACGAAAAAGTATTTGGTAAATGGTAAAATATTAATAGAAATGTGAATTGAAATTACTAAAATACTTATACAGTCATATAGTTCAGCAGCTAGGATATTTTTGTCTCAAAAGATTATATTCAGAATCTAAAAGAATGGAAAAAATAAAAATAACATATCCTAGATGAGATAATTTTTTTAGCTTTGTGTAGTTCAAAAGGAAAATGTTCGGAAAAAAAATTATTGATCTTTTGTTTACATTCCTTATACCAAACATGATAATTAATAAATATATCTCATCTCACTTTTTATCATTCCAACTAAAATACTTATACCAAACACTCTGAGTTATGAATTATGATGCACTAGCTAGGATACAAAATTAAGTAGTTGGGAAAATGAAAAATGGAAACATGAAAGGACAAATTAATCAATGAGCTTGGCAATTCTTTACCGCAATCAGATAGCTTGATGGCTAACTGTGGCCTTGCCAAGTCCTTTCAAATTAATTGTGATCACTGTAGTTTGCCCGCTACTTGAAGATATTTCATGTAAAACCGACCATAGTTTGTGGATTAAGGGTCATTGTTCTTTTTCCCTCTTTCGTGGGTATAAGATTTTTTATTTTTATTTTATCATCGTAAATTTGAGTTCTTGATGGGTAGGGAAAAAAAATCGCTGATCAAATTCGAAGGCCAATAGCGTGATCCCATTGGATAGAAAATTTAGCCCAATGAGAAGAATATAATAGAATTCAGATTATAGAGAGTAATAATAATTAAGTAAATTACTACCCATGTAAGCTAAAGATGAAACTTAACCTACGTAGCACCGACACGATAATTCGACACGTCAATCCTAAAAAAATATGAATTTTGATATGTTGGGACATATTTTAATATTAAATAATATTTTTAATTATATAGTTTATATTTCATTTAATATTCAATAATTTAACAAAAAAATGAAATTAAATTAATAATACTCATCAAAATATTATCTTTCAACTTTCTTTTTCAATCCAAAACCACATAAGAAAAATTAATTCAAAGTCGGAATCTAAGGTGTTACATAAATGGAGAAAAAAAAAGAAAAATCTAATGTAAACAATGGCAACAGCAGCCAAAAAAAATTCACCGACACCCAATACCAAAAATTGTAGCAGCTTTCTTCACAAAAGGCAAAAACATAAACTAAAATAATACACTATAAAATAAGAACATCAAGAACACAATCAAATATAAGGTGGAAGCTTTAATAAAAAAAACAAGAACTGAGGTGAAAGAGAGAGATCAGATCAGATTAGAGAGAGATCAAGAAGGAGGAGATACGGTAAGAGCGTAACAGTAATAACAACGATGGTGCTGAGATGATCTATTATTTACTTAAAGGAAAAAAGAGAGGAGAAATTGATATGATCACGTGGAAGCTTTATTAATATTTTTTTTAAAAAAAATTCTATTTTTTTTTTAAAAAACAAAAAATATAAAAAAATTTACGAAAATGTTATTTGACTATGTCGGAGTGTGTCGGACTTGGTCAAATTCGCGTGTCAAAATGGTCAACGTGTCAGGAATGTTGACCGCATATCCAACACCGTGTCAAAATGTGTCAGAGCGTGTCACCGTATCAGAACGTGTCGAACACGACACTCCTTGTTTTTTTAGAGTGTCAGTGCTTCTTAGAACTTAACCTTAAGGAAGAAGCTGAAAAAACATGGTTGCTCCTTAAAACATTGATTTGAAGTCCATGAGATTTGCTTAATGAGAAACAGAAAACTAATGTAAAAAGCCCATTGGATAGCTGAGAATTCCAAAGATCTCCAAACAACTAACATGCAAGCACAACACCAATTGTCACTGTCACATTGATTTTTGAATAACTAATGTATGTTACGACAATTGATCGTAAAATTTTTTTAATGAAAAATATAAAGAAGAAATTTCAAAAAGTTAACAAGTTCTATCAAAATATCAATGTTTTTTTTTTCTTTTTTTCTTTTTTTAATATTTTACAGCACTGCCTAGATTTAGGTTAGATAAACTAGTTTAAAATAAAGAAAATATATGATTTTTATAAAAAAATAAATTACGTGGCTTATAGAAAAAAGTTTAGCCCATTACTATGTAGATATATTTTATATTATTTAAATAATATACCGTTATTTTAATAAAATTTTAAGTTTAAGGAAATAATAATCATAATTGTGGACAAATTTTAAAGTAAAATTAGACCATAATTAAATCGTGTAGAAGAAGGATGCGATGTCGTGTTTCGTAAAATCTCTAAATGCGACCTTACACGTACAATTAAATAATAGTGAGTGGGACTGGACAGTGCAGATACAGGCTCATACAGCACGTTGTTGGTATCAGTTTGCTGATTTTACCGACAGGCAGGGGTTGTTGTTGAAATCTGCTCCTATAGTCCTATTCCGTGTTTCTTAGCAGATGTTGATACAAATAACAAATAAATATGTGGCATTAGAATAATTGTTTTATAATTATTTGAGAATTGAAATCTTACGTTGCAGAGATAAAAAATATATGACACTCATATATTAAAAAAAGTTATATGTAAGACTCATATTAGCATGAAAATCAAAGAGTGTCTAGGAAGATTTCAATTCTCAT